TTCTAAATAAAATAAATATTGTTGTTTCCACAAAAAGAAAAAATTAAATTTCATTTATACAACATGAAATGAACAATTTCAATAAAGCTACTTTTGGTATTCACAAGGTGCCGCCACAGCTCCACATGCTTGATTTGGCAGATTCTTTATGACAGCTAAAATTCAGGGGAATTTGTCTTCCCCAGAAAAGAAGCAGCTGGTTTTGGCCATCTATCACCTCTACTGAATGGCTGCAAATGCATGAAATCCAAACGGTGCACGCCATAAAGTGGCCCGTGGTGCTGTGAAAACTATTGTACTGCAAACAAGAGTTCTCAAAATAATAAAACATTGAACTGTATCTGGACCATTTCTGTTAAAAAAAACATAATGAAAATTGAGGAAGATGGTTCAACATTTCTGGGCTAGAGCTCCACAGGACTCCATTTATTCCAGACTCTCTCTTTAGTATTTATAAATTCTTTGCAGACAACAACGCAATACCACAAATACGCTTTTACAAAGGGCAAGTGCAGCGCACAGTGAGCAACAAAAGCCAAACTGACAGCATTTAGACATCAACAACATGACCAAAACCTCCCGAGGCCTGGTGTAAAATCTCCACAGAGTCTGATTTCCATTTACCATCCTGGACTTAGACTGCCTAATTGACTAATTACCAACTGTAACACCAGAAAAGCAGCCTAATAATGCTGGATGAAGGAGAAAGAGGGGAGGTAGCTCTACTTAGGTGAGCTGCTAAGAGAGAAAAAGGATTCCTCTTCTTTCTCACAGAGAAAGTTGTTTGCATGAAAATTAATGACTAAAACTTTCAAACCTGTAAAGAGAGCCAAAAGTGGGAATTTAAAGTAAAGCAACCCTGAAGGAAACGCATTAGTCGACATTCAGCTTTGTTTGAAAAAAAGGACAAAAACCGCTGTGCCTAGAAAGACTGCCGCAGCTGAACATCTCAAACTCGCTGAGGGAAGAAAAAGGAAAAAGATAGGGCTCAGTAGGATATGTCAAGCCTTTATCAATCTTACATTAGGAGAATGTTAATCTCAGCCCAGAAAAAAAAAAAAAAAAAAGAAGAGAGAGGAAAAAATAAAAAGACTCCAACTACTCTTTCCCCTGGGCTTGCTTTTCAAAATGCTTGTCTCCTTTCAGCCAACTTCAAATCAATTTCAAGCTCCAATGAGATATATATGTAAAACGTTAACAGAGAGGTTTCAATATTTATAGTTGCTCAAGAGGCCTTTAGCTTTGTAGCCCTGAACACAGAAACGACAAATTCAACAGCATCTGTTATTTTTTTCTTCTCTGGTTAAGAGTAACAGCATTCTGAGGGAGGTGGGTAAAAAAAAAAAAGTCAGTTATTTGACATGACACAAACAGAAATAAAGCAATTCTCAGCACCGCGTTGACACTTTGATAAAAAAATAAAAATATAAGTAAAAACAACCCACCACGTCTACATCCAATCTCACCTCCCCCATTGTGTGATGTCAAACACCAGTCAATGACTGCCTACTACACAGCCTGAACTACGGTGCTGGGCCCTCTAAAGAAAAAAAAGTATGAAACAAAATACACGAGTGAACACTGCAGATCCCTCACTGCTAAGAACAACAACCAACAGCAGCGATTCTGTGGACAGGATTGACGTCTGCAACTGTTCCTGTCAAGATAATGACTCCGTTAAGTATTGGAGTGATTCGGATTTAGCGATCGCTGCCTCGGCTGCTGCTCGACCGCCTTTGGCTAAACGGAAATAAACATCATCGCTCAGCTGAGCGCCGAGGACCTGACTGGAAAGGGTGCTGCTCGTGCACCCGCGTGCGGGGAAAACCGATGGGCCGATCTGCCTGCTTGGCAAACACAATGATGTAATTACTCTGTACAGCTTTATTTAAAATAGTGCATGGATAAAAACCAGGCTTCGAAGGTTAAAGAAAAAACAGCGGGAAAAAAAGGGGTTGAGGATATAAAACAGAGTTACCATTACGTTGATGGATGTTCACGACACAAGTCAAAGCTTGAGCAAAGAGATTCTGTCCATCAGAAATCCTTAATACATAATCCAGTTTGTGGCGTTTTAAAGATTTGACAGCCATAACGAGGCAACAGCTTTGGTTGTATGCTTTGGATATTTGTGAAGAACAAAAGAAGAGAATACTGGAGGTCTGTTCTGAATGATGGCCGTTTAGCCACATGATGACAGCTTGGATTTCAGTTCTTTGAGAATATAACCGCGCTCGTTATCACGTCCTTCACATAATGAAACACTTAGCGAATCGCCTTTCATTCATTTCTTACGGAAATATTGGTGAGAACAGGTTAACTCTTGTGTGGAAATAATCTTTTAGGAGACACAGATAAATATTATAAAATAGGCATATTTGTTATGGAAATATCAAGAAGCGAGAGGAACACACGTTTCATAGTTTTCCCTCCTCCTACACACAATCACATCAAACCCTTCGCCATCCAGTGTTTCCCATCAGCGGCTGCTGAATGCTTCATGGAAAAGGTGTGCCTTCACTAACACTTAAAAACAGTCACACTTGATCCACGTCTGAGATCGCCCGGAAGGTTATTTCGGAGTTATGGTGCAATGGCGGCAAAAAGGAAAGCCGCCCTTTTTTGTACAAGCTTCGGTTGTGGTGGGAGAGAAAGTGACGCAGACCTTAAGGATCATGAAGGAGAATATGGATGCAGCATATCTATCACTTATGCATGGGCTCATTGTAAATTAGACTTGACTAATTGCACTGCATCACAACACTGATACAGTCTTTTACCAACATGCCGTGAGGGTTTAATCTATAAAGATTTTGTCTCTGAACAAGTTCGCTCACTAAGTAGAAGCTCATTAATTTCTAAAAAAGTAGGATCAGGCTTGAACAAACAGAGTTATGTTTGATTCGTTATTTTTGCAAGGGATTACAAAGACATAGACGCATGTTGAAACAGCTTAGGTTTTATTGATTTCTTTGATTTGGAAGCTCCCACAGACCCCGTGGCTCTTTGAGGACTTAGCCTTCGATTGGTGTTGTATTTAAATCTGTTTGTTAAGTAGCTAATACGTTTGATTCAATTAATTCCAATCTGGTTGTTGGTGTTACCCCCGTTTTCATCCTGCTGAGTGAGAACTCCAACGCTGGCATCTTCCTTGCCTCCTTACAGCTGGCCAATCACAGAATGGAGTGGGAGTGAATATCAGATGGATTGTTAGAAAGGTACAGAAATGGTTCGATACAACCCTTCTCCAATTTAACCCCGGGCATGTGTGGGAGAAGGAGGTTTCCAGAGCGAGCCTTCCAACAAGCAGTTCTGATGAACCACAGCGGGGCACACCACATGGAGACGGCAAGAACTGTAAGAGATCCACTTGGGCTCCTTGTATTTTCTCAGACAACTTTATGAGAGGAGAGTGGACAATATTAGGCAAGTTTAAGATTTAACAGTTCTTTCAGTCTCTTCACTAATACATAATGCAAGCTATATCCATTGCAAACCACCTTTGCACTACAAACGGTGCTCTCCATCACAGCGAATCGAAGAATGTAAACATCAGGCAGGCGCAGTAGTCTTCAAGATGAATCATTCGGACAATATATCTGTCTCGTGTTGTGGTAGTTGTATCAGTCAGTCAAATCAGACAATAAACTAGGAATATAAAACTATAGCCTTAGGTACTGGTTCAGATTAAGCGGCTGAAAAATGAAGAAAACTGGCTATAGTTTTTCCCTCAAAGTGAGTCAATCGCAATCGACTTACGGTGTCCCAACGTACCCAGCTTCACAGCAGAAATAAACACGTTTACAGCCAGTTTTTTTTTTAAAAAAAAAACCCAGAACAAAACAAAACAGATATTTTCTGGGATGTATTTTAAATAACCCATTGACCTAGATAACTGAGTTAAGGGCGTGGTCACATTGATTGACAGGTTCTTGACAAATGGAGCTGAAAGATATCTCTTAGGCCTCGTCCATTGCTCTGAGTAATTAAACTGGACCTCTTCCATGTGTGGGTGATTTTGATCCATTTCCAAGCATTTTTAAAGTTATTTGACTGATTTTATGGTTTGCTATTTGACACAAAGCATTTGAGTAGTGTGTGCTTTGCTTCTGGTGAGTGAAAATCTAGTATTTTACTAGCCTGTTGGTTAAATATACCTACATACATATATATGGATTGTCTGAGTAAAGATTTAGTTTGCCAAACTTTGGTATAGTCTGTCTAAAACATTTCTTTAAATTAATTCTTTAAAACAAAATAAAAATAACCCCAAAATTGATTTGTTAAGGTTTCTTAAAAACCTAAAAATATTTATGCAGTCTTGAGATTCTTTTTCGGGCATTTCAACCATAAGAAACCCACAATCATGTGACCTGAATAGCTCTCACAGCGATGGGTTGGGGCAATATCTTACAGAGGTTTCACACTTTGGGTCCAGGTATGTTAACGACCCATTCCTTTATTTCACACCTTGGCTTTTGACTCTGATGACCCGCATGATTGATTGTGGGTCAACGGCCATCAGGATTACCTTCAAATGGGCCAGCCCCCAGTAGGGATTAAATAACCGTACCTTTTCACCAATTGGAAATGAAGACGTCTTGGATGAGAGGTGAAACATCTTTACAACCTGATAGAAGCCCAGCTGCTTTTTTTTTTAAGCACTCAAGACTACAATGTCTTGGATGACTGAAAACCTAAGCGTGTGTGAAATTCTAGTATGTATTTTATAACTTTGATTGCACCGAGCTAACCAAATCTGCTAGCTAGTTAGCTGAAAATGTAAGCACTCGGGACTTTCTAAAATGATCACACATTGGGCTCCTCAAAAAAATAAATAAATAACTTGGTCGCAGCAAAAATGCTAAATTTTTACCTTCACAACAGTACTTCACAAACAAATAGGTGATCTCAAGCTGACTACACCTATTCTCAAGCCTTAGCCAATAACAGCAATCAACCCTTTTAATTCCAATATTAAAAAAGATCTGGTTCCAAACACCCAACCTGGCGGCCATATTGGATTGTCAGAATTCGGAAAGGTCTTGTATACATGGGTCCAATTCACACTACATTTTAGCTACTGTCAGTGTTGGGAAGGTTACTTTTAAAATGTATTCCATTACAGAATACA